TGACCCCCTGAATAGTTACGAAAAATGTTTTTTTAAATTTTTATTCATCTAAGACCATACGGCATAAATCGAGGGGCATAATACTCTTTCCGTTTTTGAATGCACGCATGCTTCCACCGGAAATTTCATCGATTAGGACAATTTTATCATTAATCATCCCGAATTCGAATTTAATGTCGTAGAGTTCAATGTTTTTCTTTGCAAGATCTTCTTTCATGAGAGTTGCAATCTTCTTGGTTAATTCTTTGAGTTCTTCATACTGAGAACCGGTTAATATGCCAAGAATTTCAAGAGCATCTTTGGTTACCGGAGGATCTTCACGTGCATCATCCTTGAATGTGACTTCAACGAATGCAGGAAGTTCCTGTCCTTCTTTGCAATAGTCACCGTATCTGCGGTAGAAACTTCCAACGGCACGGAATCTGCAGATTACTTCGAGACCTTTACCGAATGTTTTTGCCGGTTTGACGGTCATCGTGGTGTTTTCGATATCAGCGCTGATAAAGTGGGTCGGAATCTCCTTTTTGTTTAACATGTTGAAGAAATATTCAGTCAGTCTCAAATCGGCTTTTCCGACTCCTTCCATGGTAAGTCCAGTAACATTCATTCCAGGATCAAAGACACCGTTTGCGTCAACCGTACAATCATCCTTGAATTTTAAAAGGTATGTACCATCATCATTTGCAAATACATTTTTAGTTTTGCCGGTGTAGATTAGTTTCATACATTTAATACATATATGAAACGATAGTTTATATTTTTAATTAGGGATATTGCGAATAAATCCGCGCTATGAAGTTATTTATGGTATGGTTCACCTGAGATGATTTTAAACGCGCGATATATCTGTTCGCATAATATTAATCGACACATGGTATGAGTAAATGTAAGGGATGATAATGAAAGGATTTCTGTTGCGGAAGACAAGACTGATTGAGAAAGACCAAGAGGTCCTCCGATGATAAAACACAGGTTTTTGCCGGTAATTTTTGCATCGTTGAGAAGATGGGCAAGGTCCTCGCTTGAGATCGATTTTCCGTGCGAATCAAGAGTGATGGGGATATATCCGGTTTTGATAGCGGATATAAGTAAGTTCCCCTCTTTTTCTTTGACCGTGATTTCTTCGGAGGGAGTTGCTTTGTCAGGAATTCGGATTTCAGAGAGTTCGGTTATGATAATGGTACCATAGGGTTTTAACCGTTTTTCGAATTCTATAATGCCTTCAGCAATCCATGGATCCTTGATTTTACCGATACAGAGAATCTGAATATGCATAGAATGAGAGCAAATAGAGGGTTAGTTGATTATCAAACCGCGTTTGCGTGATTCATCTTTTCCCCCGCGTCCCTTTTCTTCGCCAAAAGTAATATCATCGACTGTCGATATGCGATGATTGGAACGTGTTTCTGATGTTTCACCAATAATTCCACTTTTTTGATAGGTATGTGTTTTTTCTTTTGTCATTACTGAAGATGATTTTGAATCATTAGTCTGTTTTTGATAAATTGGGGCCGTATAATCTTCGGTGAACAGCTTTGATTCATTGGTCTCAGTTTCCGCGACTGGTTTGTCATCATAGTGTGAGGGGTCAGATTCAGTGTTCGGTTTATCAGTTTTTATTTTGTTGTTTTCTGCATTCTGATAGCAGGTAATTGCTTCTTCCAGTTCATCAAGTTCAATATGAGCTTTTGCTTTTAAGCGCCATGCAACGGGATTCTCTGGATTTAATTCAGTTGCAGTTGTTGCAGCTTCAAGTGCCTTTTTGTATTTTTCCTGGTGAAGATAGATGAGAGCACGGGAATTGTAGAGATCAACATCTGCACATCCTGCGGTTTCGGCTTTTTCAAGGAAAGTGAGGGATTCGGTTGGTTTACCGGCAAGCATAGATAAGTAGCCGAGACTGGAAAGAACATAGGGATTTTTGTCGGCAATGGTAAGAAGAGATTTAAGTGCCGTAATGATGGTTTCAGGATTGCCCTGTTTAAGTGCGGTTAACGCATATTCAAGGTATGCATTCTGATTTTCCGGTTCGATTTTAATGACTCGATCGAAGGCGATGAGGGCTTTATCATAGTTTCCTGAACGTGACAACAAATCACCATAGGTTATAAGGGCTTCAAGGTTTGTTTTGTCTGCTTTTAGAAGAGTCAGATATTCATTTTGTGCGGCTGTGTTGTTACCCGTCATGAAGAGAGCTTTTGCATAGAGTCTTCTTGTATTTAGGTCATCAGGATTCTGGGTGAGAATCTTTTCTGTCAAATCCGCAACTTCATCCCATCGGCTGAGAGCAGCCAGTGCTTCAGATTTCAAGTGCATATTTCGAAGGATGGTTTCATTCTCCAGTCCTTCTGTTTCTATTATCAGGTCATAGCCATTGATGGCTTCCGTATAGTTTCCTTGCATAAGATATAAGGATATGACTTTGCGAAACACTTCATAGTTATTGGGTTGGAGTGAGAGATAGGTGTCGTAAATATCAAGGAGTTCATCATATTTCAGCTGATGTTCAAGAGTTTCGGCAAGAAGAAGAAGAGATTCAGGGCGTTCAGGTTCAAGTTCACAGATTATCCGCAAATCATCTTCAGCTTCTTTCCAAAGTCCTAGATTGATCTTGCATTGTGTTTTCGCCATTAAGAGATTGGTATCGACTTCTTCATTTGGAATTGAATCAAATATTTCAAGGGCTTTCCTATAATTCTCTTTGGCGACATAAGCTCGACCAAGATCAATTGTTGTCGGAATATCTCCCGGTTTGAGCGTTAATGCTTCAATGTAATAGTTAATGGCTTCATCATATTTGAGAAGCTGCATGGAAGCATTACCACCAAGACGTAAGAGAGAATAGGTTGCCGTCCCTTGGTTGACCGTTATAGAGACCGCAGTTTCCGTTTCATGATATCGTCCAAGGGCGGTGGAAAGCAGTGCAAGTTCGCATGCTGTACCATGGAGATCAGGATACGTCTGAATAATGCTCATATATAGAGATGTGGCTTCTTCAAGATGACCGCTGTTGGCCGCAAGCATTGCCTGTAAAAATACCGTACCGACATTTTCTTCAAGATATGCGGAGGCGGATGCAAATGCTTTTTTTGCCTCTTCATATTGACCAAGAATTTCGTAGGTTTTTCCCAAACCTAAATATGCTTGACCATTTTCAGGTTGGAGTTCGACTACTCTCTGATAATAGGTAACGGCATCGGTATATGCGCCTGCAGCAAATGAAACATAAGCAGCGGCACGGATGGTATCAGCATCGTTTGGGAGAATGGTAAGAATATTATCAGCAGTTTCTTTAGCGAGGACAAAGTCACCCGTATTGGTAATACAGTTAATCAAACGTGAGTAATATATGGGATTTTCGGGATACTCATCGATGAGTTTGCGGTATATGTCGGCAGCGTTGGTGAATTGACCCAGGAGCATTTCGGTTTCAGCATGTTCAAAGAGGATGGTTGCATCATTTGGAAGAACATCACAAATCCGGTTATATGCTTCAGAAGACGCCTGATATTTTCCAGAGGCGACAAGAAGACGGAAATGAAGAATTTCCATATCAGAACGCGTACCATAGGTATTCAGGGCAGAAAGGGCAGCTTTATCCGCGTCATCGAGTCTTCCTATAACTGCAAGACAGTAAGCTTCAATTGCGGCCATTTCCGGAGTCTCTTCACACAATATGATTTTCTCTTTGGGATTCTCGATTTTTTCGATGAGTTCCATGTTTTCTCCTTCAAAGAGGGAATAACTTTCGAATTTACCGTTTTTAATATTATCAGCACGTGTTAAACTATTTAAGGCATCAGCATATTTTCCGGAGAAAAATTCAGCAATACCTTTCATTTGCCAAATATTTGGCGTGGTCTGATTAAAGTAGAGAACTTCTTCAAAGCATTCGGTTGCCCGTTTAAGCGATCCGGAGATAAATGAAAATGTTCCAAGAAGATACCAAATTTCTTGTGATTTAATGTTGTTGGTTATGAGATTTTCGAGTTCAGCAATAGCCTCTTTTGTTTCACCACTCCAAAAGAGAGTATAGATGTGCCGAATCGTCATCTGAGTATCATTTATTACTCCACTTTTTTGTAGCGATTTATAGGTTTTTGCTGCTTCAGTAAATTTTCCGTTAAGTTCTTCAATCAGAGCTTTGTGATAATGTGGAAGAAATTCATTTTGCCCAATCTGTTCATAGAGTTTTAATGCTTCATCCAGTTCATTATTTAGTTCGGCACAGAATCCGGCAAGTTTAGTATATTTTTCCGCATGGTTTGGATAAGCCTCTATTAATTCTTTATAGATATTCTTAGCGAGAAGCATTTGTCCGGAATGCATGAGATTTTCAGCATAGAGATTCTTATAGTATTCATTTTTAGGATCTAAAGAGGAAAGTTGGTTCGCAAGTTCTGCTGCTTCCTGATATTTTCCTAAGTACATTACCCATTTGCATTTGTGAAATAGGAAAAATGAATCATTTGGATTTATCTGAACATGATTGATTGCCGAGACGGCTTGTTCAAAATTACCGGTTTCTCCGAGTAGAAGAGATATCTGTTTCCATGCCTCTGAAGTATTGGGAGATATTTCAACAATCTTCTGATAATTTTTGAGTGCATCCTCGTATTTTCCTAAATACTCTTGGATATGCGCAAGACGGAGATGAAGTGAAATATTTTGAGGCTCCATTTCAACTGCATGGAGATAATGGGAATGGGCATCATTATACTGTTGTTTTTCTAATGCGAGTTCTCCGCGTGCAATCCATGGGTTCTGTTTATCATCTTTACTGAATAATCCACACATTTAGAATTCCTCAGGGTTAATTCATATATCATTTTGTCGTTTAGGATAAAAAACATCTTGGAAACATCCGTGGCTGATTTATTTTATTTGCGATATGTTATGATTTCCAGTTGAATCGTCGCAAACAGATTGGTAATTTTATTGTGACCGAACTCGTCTTTATTCCATTTAGTTAAATAGAATCAAGACAAATACATAAATTTATGAATAAAAAGGAAGAGTCATTACCCTATGATCCGGAAACTCTTCGCCGGATTCAGAATCATCCGTGCTTCAGTCAGGAGGCAAGACATCTTTTTGGTCGCTGTCACGTTGCAGTTGCTCCGATATGTAATATTCAGTGTAATTATTGTATTCGTGATTTTGATTGTGTCAATGAATCTCGTCCAGGAGTCTCGAGTGAAATTCTTACTCCAGAGACCGCATTAAAACGAATTGATGCGGTTGTCTCGAAGATGCAGCATATTCGTGTTGTGGGTATTGCAGGCCCGGGGGATCCACTTGCAAACCAGGAAACATTTGAAACGCTGCGTCTGGTTCATGAAAAGTATCCTGATATAATTCTATGTATTAGTACCAATGGTGTCTTATTATCGGATAAAATTGATGAACTTGAACGGTATAATGTCAGAAATATTACCGTTACTTTAAATGCGATTGATGCTTCAATCGGTGAGAAAATATATACCTTTGTTGAATATCAGGGAAAGAGGTATACCGGACGGGAGGCTGCAGATCTTCTTCTTAATCGCCAGATTCAGGGGATTGCCGAGGCCGTTAAACGTGGAATGCTGGTTAAGATTAATACCGTTTATATTCCCGGAATCAATGATAAACATATTCCAGAAATTGCAAAGAAAGTAGGGGAAATGGGAGTATTTAACTTTAATATCATTCCTTTGATTCCTCAGTATAAGTTTAAGGATATTAATCCTCCAACACCACAGGAAAAAATACGTATGCATGAAATGTGTGCTCCATATGTTCGTCAGATGAGACATTGTCAGCGTTGCAGAGCGGATGCAGTAGGAATGCTTGGAAAAGATGTTCAGAATCAGTTTTCGAGTGATAGTGTTGGTTCAGGTGTGGGGTGTTCTGGGAAACATGATGGTTCGGGTGGTGGATGTTCTGGAAAACATGATGGTTCGGGCGGTGGGTGTTCCGGAAAACATGATGGGTAAAGAGAAAAATAATAAAAACACACAATCTCATTCGATGAAATTGAGAATGTATTAATTTTCTTATTTTTGTGAATCCTTTCTCTGTATCGTCTTTAAACGTGACTTTTCAGGTTCCCATGCACGTTTTGTCTTTTTAGTTCGAATTTGTCAGTTGGTATAGAGATATGTTTAGGATATTACAGGGTGGAATCATGTGATATCTTCTCTGCATATTACCATCTTCAGAGTTTATTGAAAAAACCTAACCATATACTTGCTGTCCATCGAAGAAAAGGATGATTGGACAACATCAATAGGGGGTTATTCGATAAACTCTTCATATCATTGAAAGAAATCAAAGAATATAATAAAAAAATCAGAAAAAAAGATAATTTAAATGCGTTTACGCCCAAGTCGGAATTCGAATCCGAGTCGCAGCCGTGACAGGGCTGCATGATAGGCCACTACACCACTTGGGCAATCAATGGTCCCGACTCCCGGAATCGAACCGGGGACATCACGGTAGCTGCACATTGTTCCCGCAAGAACGAAATCATTACTACAGCCGTGCACTCTACCTGCTGAGTTAAGTCGGGTTTGGTTAACTGCTCTAAATAGTTCTACGTTTTCAAATATAAATGTATCGATATTCTATTGCGATACAAGACGGTAAATTATCATATATTGACTTCAATATCATGAGTATTACTATGAGTGAAGGGAGTGAATTTGTTGTAATAGGATGTCCGAAATGTCGACGAATTCTCGTCGCAAATCGCCAGTATTCGACAAAAACATGTCAGTGCGGGTATAAAATAGACTTGCATAAAGTTAAAAATTTAGTTACCTGCAGCAACGGTAATGAGGCAGCGCGCGCAGTACAGGAACTGCAAAAACGAAGGAATACGGGATTTACATCGGCACGCGATATCATGCAAAAATGAATGCAGAACTTTTCTAAAAATCCCTTTTTTGAAAATTAAAACCCTCGGAAATGTAATCTAAATTATGTTTTCAGAGAGATAAGATGTGAAAAATCGAGGTTTTTAGAAAACTTCTGCAGTATTTAGTAGAGAGAGACAACCGGTTTGAAACATATTCTATGAATCTTCAGATATATGTTAAGTAACTCTAATTAAATGAAAAAATCTATCTCTAATTAAAAAAATTGAATTTTTAGATATTTTGGAGAGATAGAATAGAAGAATTAGTCGAATGGAATGGCTTCAAGAGCAGAGGCAATTTCCCAAACTTTGGTTCGTGCATGCATTGGTATATTGGAATCGGTTGCCACTTCATCAATTTTGGAGAGTGCAAGTGATGCACGAAGACCGACAGTTTTTTTCTCATCTACGAGTATTTTTATTGTTTCTTCAGCTATTTTTTTGATATTGCGCGGAATCATCGGATCTTCAGAGAGTACTTGAAGCATTGAGATACTTCGTTGAATCATTTCATTGATATCTTCCATAGTTTATGTCTCCAATTTCATTTTAGGAATGTATCTTTTTTGTTAGATTTATATTTTTATAAATTTACGCATAGAGACGTCACTTTTAACATATAAGTATCACGAAAACAAATATATGAATAACTTTGGTAAATCGCATGACGAAGATGGCTGATGAAATAATGGCTGAGTATCTCTTAAATGGAGGAAAGATGCTCAGTGAAATGTGTCCAAAATGTGGCGCTCCGTTTTTTGAGGTTAATGGATGCAAGGAATGTGTTGTTTGTGCAGAGCGAGAGAAGGAAGAAGTCAAGACGGTAAATGTTCAGGAAACGGCGTCAAAAGAGGAGGCAAAAATCGCTCAGATTAAACCCCTCTATGCTCAAGATTCTCCCATGGTGCCGACACCAGAACTTGATGTTCTTTTATCGACGTTAATCGCTCGTGCAATTGATGAAAAAGACTCCTCGAAATGTTTGGTTCTTACTGAATGTATTCGGACTGTCGCGGAAGCAAAAACTATGTTGGTGCGTTTACCATGAATGTTATTGGTGTTGTGGGATATCCGGCAAGCGGTAAAGGAGAATTTTCCAATGTTGCAAAAGAGATGGGGATTCCAGTTATTGTTATGGGAGATATTATTCGAAAAAAAACGGTTGAATTTGGTCTTGAATTAACTGATGAAAATGTTGGAAGCATCGCCCGTAAACTCCGGGAGGAATTAGGAAGGGAAGGGATTGCAATTTTGACGGTAAATGAAGTGTCTAAGATTGATGCCTCGGTGGTTGTTATTGACGGGATTCGTGATGATGCAGAAATCAACTATTTCAAACAGCGGTTTACGAGTTTTCATGTTGTCTATATCAAAGCGTCTTTTAATATTAGATTTGATAGAATGCAGATCCGGAAGAGAGATGATGATGCGTTGAATCCATCAAATCTTGTATCCCGGGATCGAAGAGAGGAATGTTTTGGGTTGAAACGCGCCATAGAATTAGCTGATATTGTCATTACGAATGAATCAGACAGAGAAACGTATCTGAATGAGGTATACCGAGTTCTTAGAGGGTTGCAATGAAATTTTACTTTGCATCATCTTCGAAGGTTTGGGATGATCCATCATGGGTTTCCGGTATTCTTGACGCTGGATTTGATGGGTGGGAAATATCAGCTGATGGAAATTATCGGCTGGATACGGAAAAAGGAATTAATACCGTTAAAAAAACGATTGAAGAGACGGGAATTCCGGTAACGGTACATGCACCGTTCAGTGATTTAAATATTGCATCGGTCAATTCCCGTATTTGGGAAGAAACGATTCGGCAGCTGGAACGTACGATTGAAATCGCAGCGGAACTTACTGATAGAGTGGTTATCCATCCGGGATACTTAAGTCCAGTCAGTAGATATGATCCGTCCTCTGCATGGCACAGGCATAAGGATGCCTGTGTTCGTTTAGGGGAAGTTGCTGAACATGTCGGGGTAGCAGCATGTCTTGAAAATATGCCGAATCTTGAGGATTTTTTTTGTCGTTGTCCGGATGAACTTGATGGATTTGTTGAGGGGACTGGTATGAAAATTGCACTGGATATTGGACATGCAAATACCAATGCTAATCTAGATAGGTTCTGTAAAATTCTTCTGCCCAAAGCTTATCATATGCATATTCATGACAATCATGGAGGTCAGGATGAACATTTGTCAGTGGGATCTGGTAATATTGACTGGATGAAACTTAGGCCGAAACTTATTCAGAACTATCATGGTCATATCATCGTGGTTGAAGGAAGAAATCTATTGGAAGGAAAAGAGAGCCTGGGCTTTATGCATTGGTGGTTCTAATGGCAGGAGAAACCTTGTTTGTTCATTTTCTTGGTACAGCAGGAGCATTGCCTACTCCCTTTCGCAATCCGTCATGTATTTTGATTCGTCGAGGTTCGGATACCTTGATTTTTGATTGTGGGGAAGGGACACAACAGCAGATGATGAGGGTAAAAACGGGTTTTGTTGTAAATACGGTATTTATTACGCATTGGCATGCAGATCATTATCTTGGTCTGTTTGGATTGATTGAAACCATGTCATTTAATGGGAGAACCGAACCGATGACGATTTACGGTCCAAGGGGGATTGATAAGATACTTGCAGTTATTCATATCCTTACGCCGAAAATTCCGTTTCATCTTGAGGCGATTGAAGTATCTCCTGGTGATGTTATTCCCTTGGATGGTTATGCCGTATACGTTTTTAAGACCTATCATGGTATGGAAAGTGTCGGGTATGTTCTTGAAGAAGATATGAGACCTGGACGATTCAATCGTCAGCGGGCAATTGAATTAGGAGTTCCTCCCGGCCCTCTGTTTGGAAAACTTCAGCGGGGAAACTCTATAACAATAGAACGTGATGGAGAAATTGTCACGATTCATCCAGATGATGTGATGGGGGAGAAAAGACCGGGAAGAAAAATTGTTTATACGGGAGATACCCGTCCGATTCGTCAGCCAGAAGAAGCATTGTTTAATGCTGATTTGCTTATTCATGAAGCAACATTTGAAGATGAGGAAGGGGTGGAACGAGCAAAGGAAGTTTGGCATTCGACAGCAAGAGAGGCTGGAGAAAGTGCAGCACGTCTGAATCCGAAACAGTTGGCGCTGGTTCATATCAGTTCCCGTTATACATCTGCACATAACCATATCCGCGATGCAAAGGAAACTTTTAGTGGTCCGGTCTTTGTTCCGGATGATTTGACGACGATAGAAATTCAGTTTTCAGATGAATAGTCGCAAAACAATATCCTCATCCTTAATATTCATATGTTTTGGAGGTTAATAATACGGGTAATATATGCCGGAAAGTGAGAGCAGAAATCGTCTTGACCTTTTTTTAAATGATGGTACGATTACAACAATTAGAAATCCCATCCGGCTAAAAATCGTTCAGTTTCTTCAAACCAGAAATGCAGCAACCTTTAATGAAATTCAGGAAATTACTTCCTTGTCGAAATCAACGGTTTCTGCTTACATCAATTCATTATCGGAAGTGGGAATCATATCTCGGATTTCTGATGAGGAGGATCACCGTAAAAAAAGTTATGTGTTGACGGCAAAGTATGTTGGAAGTCTTCAGCCGTCAACGTATGCTGCTGCATCGGAATATCGTGAACTTATTAGAAAAACCTATTCGAGTTATGATAAAATTAACTATAAAGAGATGCTTCCGCATTTTTTTAGGATTGCATTGGAGGAAGCAGGGATTCATATTGATCCGGTTCTTAAGCGGGGAGGAATAATTCTTGGAGAATCAATTGTGCCATTCATTGTTGCCGAGACCTTAGAAAAAACCGTTGATAACCTTGCTGAATTTTGGAAACGATATGAGTTTGGAACGCTTTCTCAGCGGTCATTATCTCCCTTGCAGATAGAAATTCTCGATTGTTATGAATGTAAAACGTTGCCGCATAATATTGAGGGAGGATGTTTAATTACGGTAGGTATTCTTGAGGCGGTCTTTTCTGCTTTTTTTCAGGAACAGTTGAGTGTTTCAGAAATTGAGTGTATGACAAAAGGAGATGTCGGATGCTGTTTTCAGATAAATAAATCTCCTCGCCGAGATGGGTGAGATTAATCTTAATTTCTAATTTTAGTTAAAAAATCATATTTTATTCAGTTATTTTTACCCTTTTTTGAGTTATAATTGGGTTATTTTATCAATGGAATTACCTACCTATCTATAAGATTTATTTTAGATCACTAAGATGGTCTTGGTTATTTTTTCCGGTAATTAGTGCCATCTCTTCATCCAAATATTCATAAAATTGAGCAACTTGCCGTCCATCTACCAAAGCGTGATGGCATTGTACAAAAAGGGGAAGAAGGACTCTATCATTCTGTATGAAATATTTTCCCAGTTCAATTTTTGGCTGACTGTCGGCTGGAATAGGATATGGGCAGATAAATGAAGTAAAAGAAATCCAAGGGATTGAGGAGATTGCTATTTTAGCTAATCTTTTTTCCTCAGTATCTTCATCGTAGAGAGTGTTTTTCAGTTTTGATTTTTCCTGTTCGTCTATTGCATACGGGATATATTCCTCAAATGGTTTGTCACTGTAGAGTTTACAGAAACAAAATGTATCATCAGTTAATGCAACGGTATGAGATGTTGGACAGTAATCATATTCAATAATTTGATTATTAATTATTCGTTGTCGAAATTCAGTGACACGATTAGCCGCTTTAGAGATGCAATAGCAAATTGATAAAAAGAAAGGGAGTTTTTTTGATTTAATCATCTTCAAAAGATTTGTGATATCAACATTTACTGTTACAGCCCCACAAGGGTAAGCAAAATCCTTGAAAAACAAAAAGTGATTTTTTCGTTTGTATGTATCTAAATCTAAATATTTGTACATAGACTATAATTATTATATTTTATTTTTGTAGTATTATAAGTTTCTGATTCATCACTCTCTTTTTTTTTCCGGTTCACATAGGTTAAAAAAACTTTAATTTTACGCTTGTTTTCAATTTAGATATTTATTTCGTGTCTAAAAATATCAAAAAAAAAATACAGTTAAAAATCAAGTAAAAATCAAAATATTTATAAGTGCATATTAATATAAATTGTACTTACAAAAAAGATGTGGAAATTATGGGAGTCACGGCAGATATACTGAATGTTGAACGTCCACGCGGAACCGTTCTTGACAGAGGCCAAAGAAGGTTTATTGAAAACCCAGTTCCAAAGAGACCACGAGGGAGGTCAAGAAAAAATAAGGATTAAATCCTAAAAGGTACAATTATTTGGTAAACTTATATAGTATCCTATAATAATTTCCCTCAAGGCAAATCTGTATACACGGGTAAGTTAAGAGA